AATAGAAGCTAAGATATCTTTGATTTTGAATCATACTTTTAAAAAATTACTTTCTTCCAAATGTTTGTGGAGAAATTTCCTTTCTAATTTTGTCTGTTCTCTCTAGCAATTTGTATTCCAAACTTCTTCATCCTTAAAAGCTAAGAATTTGTGCAGGCTGTTCTCATCTCTGTATCACATTTTGTGCAGAATGTCAATTTTGTCTACAGCCTGCCAATTATAATTTGTCTGTTCCTTCATAAAAGATACATGTACTTTCCACTAACCTTAGCTGAAGAGTGCAATTAAGTTTCCCACAAACTCTAAAAAATCTTTAACTGGAATACCAACCACAGAATCATGCTGGAACTCAGAATAATGCTCATTAATTCACCTGCACTTACTTTTTAGCCAATTTGGGGGATGAAAAGGACTTAAATAAGGTTTAAGTAAGAAGTAACTTTAACTCATTATTAAGTGCAAACCATTCAACTGCCCAGTGACAAAAAATAGAGCAGAAATAACTTCTGACCTTAGTGTTTAGTATACTTGAAAAGACATTAATTTCAAAATATAAGACATTATAAGGTGTCTTACAACCATATAAGTAAAACATTTTAGGATACAAAATTGAATAAAACTTATGGAAACTATTTTTACATTATAACAGTTTACCAGTTTAATCTAGTCCTAACACTAACAGCTTGACAAGCAAGAGGATATATCTTCACCTAATCACTAGGAAGTTAACTATAAAATTCACACAGACAAAAATTGCTTTAACTTGACCAAATTTCATATAGAGGTGACTGACACTTTGCTGAACTTGGACAAAATAATCCTGTATATTAATGAGGCCACAGTTCTTCTCTCACTGAAGTCAGTAGCAAAATATCCATAAGCTTCATTAACACAAAAAAACGTAATGAGAAGAAACAAAATGGCTCAGCAAGCTCCTGTGAAAATTACAATCATGTGTTGGGACAAGATGATGTGAATTAATGACAGGACATAAAAATTTTCTCATGGTTTGCTCCAATTTGCAGCATTACTGAAGAAAAGTTTCTAATCAAGTTGAAGATAAGAAAAGGATATATAATATGTATTGCTTATGTATCAGGAATTCACTTCATCTCTTTCAGGCCTTCAGTTGCAAAATTAGGCCCAATGCAAGGAGTTACATTTAGTATTCATTATAAAGGATTATGCCAATTTAACCAGGTCAGTAAATCATACTTGTGCAAATGCAACTTCATCTAGGAAAAATGTACATCTTCACTGGTTCATCAGGTAAAAAAGACTAAACTGGCCAAGGCAGTTTCATGGCACTATAACCATTTTTACTCATTGTAATTTTTGAGAAGAATTCTACTAGGTAGAGTTTGCCTTATGAAGATTTTACTTGAGGAAAATGCTTTTCAAAAACACGGTATTTCTGCACTCTTCCAGTGCAATATTGTGAAACATAGTTGACAGAAATTTTAACTTTGTTTAGGTGTCAGCAGCTGTCTAGCTGCAGCAGCAAGGAACTCAGTGTGGGCTAATTTATCATACTAGGGAGCTGTTTTGAAGCTAGTTTTGCATTCCATTGCAGCCACTGATTGCCTTGCAGAAAAAGTTTAAGCCGTAATTGCAACAGTATCTGTGTCAATGTAACGAGAACTATCTGAGAGGAGCCTTGATTACCTGAAAACCACTTCGGAGTTAAAATGTTTCTTATAGATGATATATTAAATGGGTTTGCTAATAATGTTATGTGTTAATTAAATTTTACATTTATTTTAGGTACATGTAAGCATTAAAATGACCAAAAATTGACAGAAATATATGTTAAAATCTTATAAATAATCCTAGACTCAAGCACAAACAAAAGATGAGCAAAAACTTAATATATACTTCATACATGTCAATAAACCATAAATTATGAACTTGGCAACAAGAATATCTTTCTTCTTGAGATCTTTTTTTTTTTTTCCTATTTCTATTTCTGGTTGATGGTATTTATGATATTTATGGTAGCAGTGGAGGCTGAGATGTATGTAGCTTTTTAACTCAGCAATACCAGTGCTTTGCGAATTAAAAAGAGGACGAGTAAATGGATTTCCTGCTTCAATAACGAATAGACATGAGATACAGTTCAAAAAACGTAACAGGAGAGGAAGGGTTAAATTCTTTCTTCTATTTTCACTATTCTTTTGTTTATTGCATGAATGCTGCAAGAAACGTCATTGCCCTTTAGTAAAATGATTGACAAGTATGAAGGCTAAATTTTAGAAGCATTATGGATGTGATGTGAAGGTATTACTGCAGTAAACACTGGACCTCCCTGTAGATTGAAGCTCCTTCCTTTCATGGCAGGGCTTAAATATTAATGATCTGGTCACTACAGAAAATGTTAGGATAGCCAGAATCAAATTTTGAGGTCCTTTATTTTTGCCCAGGCTTTTATTTGATGATAATGCCAATTACAGTTGGGAATGGTCAGTTATGTTTTTCCTAATTAATTTCCTTCCTTTCAATTTTTTCTTCTATAATACAATGGCTACAGTTCTCTATCCAGTCCAAATTCTTTGACCCTCTCTGTGGGCATAAAGCTGTCATAAATCCTTTTATACAGCTAGAGAAGAATTCCTCTCTAGGAGGAATTAATGGATAGCCTTAAGTCACCTCCAGTTTTGGACTTCAACAGAGGGAAATGTGTGTGTGGGAGGAGGAAGGTGGAGGGGGAAAAAGGATAGGACAATCCTCTTAATCCCTGACTGACAGCAATGGCCCTGTGGCTAATATAAATGGGATTATATTGCTCTAAATTCTTTGGGGATAAACTTTGTTTCATGTTGGCCACTGCATCAGGGGACTGAACAATTCACTTTGCCATCCTGTCCTGAAAGGTAGCTCAAGCACTTTTAGACCAATTCTGAATAGTGTTCCAAATTTTTGCTTGTATTATGTTTATTTAGAATTTTTATTTTCTTCCTGGTAGAATCCTTCTTACATAAGTGCAGTGGCATCTCATTGCCTTAGTGTACTACACGAGATATTTTAGAGTAATTCACATGCTACATGAAAGACCTTGCTTGCAGAAGAATTGATTGACTCTTGGCTTGTGATTATGTCTGTTACTGTACTGCAATTTTCAGGCACTGATGCAGGACATCTTCTTCTTTAACTGCCTCATACAGGGTTATTTTTGTTCCTGGCAATGTATATGCAATGTATCTATAAATATTGTTGCAAAAAAAGGTTAGAAGATGCAAATGGTAGAAAAGTTGTATAATAAAGAACTTGGCACTAGATATGTATACTTTAGAAACTTCATTTTACTCTTGCTATCTGTCTGCCTAAACAAGTGGCAATTTCTGTGCAGCGTATCAGGCAGTAGCACCTTTGTTTTGAGTAATTGGTCTGAAATTTTCAAATTTGATCTCACTTTTTTTTTTTCATTTTTTTTAATGGAATCTTTGAATCACATCTTTTACACTATTCATGAATATTAATACTAAATATGAAACAGAGATTATAGGTAGTTGAGGGACTATCTAGATGGATGGAATGTATAAGAAATAAATATCCTTTGACATATATACTATTTCTTTCCAAGTTTTAATATAAGTGTTGGTTTTGGGTCTTAAAAAATACTATTGCCCACAATTCATCCTAACCTACTTTTCTGACATAATGCAAAATGATAATTTATGACTTTCAGGGATTTTAAATCTCACTCACACTTTTCTGACAATTCCTTTAAAACAGAAATCTACCAACTAAAAAATTCTGCTCTTTATCTAGTTCAAAAGTAGAATGTAATTAGAACACCACACAGTGGTGCAAATGAATTTAATTTTCACCTTTTTGTCACTTACTTTGATGAAGGACTAGAAAGTATGAAAATATGTGATAGTAAAAGAAAAATTAAATACAATCCTCCAGAGTACAGTAGAATATGAAATATTGTTACATATGGAAAAATCCATGCTTCTCAGAAATTGACAGTAAATTTTAAACTTATGTTAGTGAGACAGGATTTCATTTTATATCATCAGATGTCAGTAATGGGAACATTGCTAAATATATCCCCTGGGCAAAACATATGCTTAATTCTGATTTCACTTACTTTCCTGAACACCATGCATTATTATTTTCCTTTTATTTTACCTTAGCTTGCAAATTTCTTTTAATTTTTTTTAACTTTTATTTTTTCTGACTATATTTCAGTGCCTTTTTTTTCAGCTGGAATTTAAGAATTCTTGGTATTTAGGCATGCAAATACTGAATTTATTTATTTAATATTATAAATTAATTAAATAATAGTTAATAATTTTGCCAAGTTCTGCCAGATTACTGTTACGAATTTCGGAAACATCTCTACATTGCTGAAGTGACTAGAACTTTTGGTGCCTTCACTAGTGGGAAAAGAATCAAATTCTCCCTAATGTATGTAAACTGCAGATGACCTGATCTGCTAAGCCCATGAACAATATCACTTCTGCTAAGCAATTGCTTGAGACTGGTTCTAAGATTTCTGTAGTGCCTGTGAACCATGAAGAAGTCACATTGGGCTATCAGATTTCTGACTGCATGAAAAATTTTCACTGAATAAGACACTCTTTAATGGTAAAACCAGGAAAGTAGGAAAAAGATACTGACTCTCAATAAATTAAAAAAAAAAAAAAATTGTTCATTAAAAATACTTTTTGAAAAGCATTGTTGGAAAAATAATTATTACTTTCAGCTGGCTACAGGCAAATGCAAGAAATGTTGGTTTCATTGTGGAAGTTAATATTCTTTGTGCATAGAAAAAATAGAAAAGGTAAAAAATAATAGCAAGTTCTTGAAAACTTAACTGTGGAAAAACTGTCTTTTCCAAGATATCTCCCTTCATCTGCATGCACATATTCCCAAGTGTATTTATAATCTATGCTTGCTGTTACACAAATATGTACACATGACCTGCATTAATAACTTCATTAGTAATTTATGAATGATCATTAAACTCTCTTTTCCATAAATAATATATAGATTTACCTTCTTAGTATTCTTTTTCAGTATATCTTCAATCTTTGAAAAGTGTCTAAAATTTCAGACACAGGTGAAACCAATATCTTGATTTAGAAGTCCTGAGTAATATTTATTTTAATCAACACTACACAACGAGTTGTGGAGCTTATTATGTAGAAATAATTATATTGATTTTAGCTCTGACAGCATTTTCTTTGTCCTCTTGTACAAGAAGAGTTAATTTAACATGTGAAATAGAAAATTCATAGCAAATGCACTATCCATCACTCCTGTGTACTTTTAGTGAGCTTTATTTACCTGAAATGAAGAAGCGATGCCAGAATAACATAACATTTTGGATAGATTTTGAACTGAAACAAACTAATTTTGAACAGAAATGAACTGGAACAAACAACACTAGTGAAAGGCTTAGTGCAAAAAAACACCAACACACCCCCTGTCCATCAATCTAAACCTTGAAATACAAAGATACTGAATGTTACAAATAAAGCATTTTACATTTTTCACTCGATGCATTGTTTTAGATAGTTGTCTTATTATATACAGCTGAGTCTTTTTCCTATTTTAAACTTGTACCTTACTTTTACGTGAACACTGCTCATGTCTATAATTCAGGGGGTAAAACAATTGACGTGCAGTGTACTGACAAAAACTCCATCAGTTGGGGGGTTTTTTGGGTAATGAAACATTACCTTTACAATGTTTCCCTTACCTGAACCCCATCAGACGCAGGGATGTAACTCGCTCTTTTAAATGTGTCTGTAACATTTCTGAGAATTTCCACAGAAATTAGAAGGTCCCCAGCATAAAAATTTTTCCTCTGCGTTAAATCCAACAGCGTCTTGGTTACTTGGGACATGCCATCACCAGCCAACATCCTCTGTCCCTTAGCGAGGTGCTCTTTAATCTGTATCAGAAGATCAAAATTAATATCAGAACCTACTTTACTGAGGAAAAGGAATGATAAATTCTAAATACAGCCAAAATATTAAATATTAAAACTAGTAAAAAACAAAAAAAGGTTTGTCATGTTAAAGATAAGACAAAATAGTAGATTATGATGACAGAAATATTATTTTTATCAGAGAATCATTAATTTTTAATTAATTAATACTGAAAGATTTTGAATTTCTTGTGTTTCACCCATTTGCTTCTTGGAACTTCAAGGGCCAGACTGTGGCTTTAATCTACTGCCGTGATGTAGCAAGGAACTGTCCTTCCTCAGAGGAACAGGTGTACAACCACAGTTGCCACTCATTTACAACTAAGAGCTCTGAAAGGAATAAATACTAAGGCAGTACACTTAAAATCTAATTTACTATGGGAAAGTAGACCTTTCATCTCTGCCAGCCCAGCTTGCCCAGTCAATTCGAGAGAGATGGTTTAGTTGGAAGCTGATTATGGTGCTTTCTTCTGTAGCACTAAGGCAAAGACGTTAACTTGGAACAATCATGTTTACTTTTCCCAGCAAATGCAAATTAAGTTATGAATTGCTCCTATGTATCTGCACAGGAGAGTACATTTTAGCAGTAGCTCTCCCAGCAGATCTGTTCAGGGCTAGTGATCCAAAACAAATATGCTAGTAGAAGTATACTCCTGATAAGAAGCTGGCTTGTGAATCTGATTTATTCTCAAAGCTGACTTAGCATCTTAGGAAGATGCAGAGTGTATCACAAAGATATGACAAGGCCAGGCAAGGCTAAAAAAAGAGCACATTTGTTAAACAACCTATTTTTATACATGCATATGAATTTATGTATACAAACCCAAGTTCTTCCAAATGGAAAGCTAAATTATCATAGAAACATAGAACATCCTGAGTTGGAAGGGTTTTAAAGGAAGGAAAATTACTCTAGACAGACCTCACTCTCAGCAGGAGGGATGAAGAGAAAATGCTATGCAACTGACAACCAAAATGCTGGCACCATCTTTATAAATGGATCTTTAATTGCTTGGGGCTTGGCCTTATTACTGGCATTATATATAGAGAGGGAAAAATCACTAATGTAACATACAGTTGAACTAGATGATCTTGAAGGTCTCTTCCAACATGGATGATTCCATGATTCTGTGATGATGTGTTGGTGACATGGAAAGGAGAGTGTAAAGATAGTTTTGTCACTTCCAGAGCTCCACAGACACTTTGTGTGGATATGCAGGCCTTCGTTATTAAAAAATGAAATAAAAGGATAGACTAAAGGATAGAATATATAGCAAAAGTAGCAGAGTGTTTGAAAGGGTTCAAAATAACTCTCATGAAAGGAATTTAAAAAATGCAATCCTCCTCTGACACATGGACTCTAAGCAGTGGGGTTTTTTTCATGCTGTTGGTTCATATTTTGGTTACATTTTTAATCAGTCTTCAGATAAACTAGATATACGTAACATGGCTGGGGCTGGGCAAAGTGGCTGCTCCAAATTTCATCTATGGCAAGTAATCTATAGTAGTAGCTGGGGATTGTTACAAACCACAACAGCTTTGCTAAAACCCTAGAAATACTTAAAACTTGGGAAAATACCTGTTCGCTGCATCACGGATGGGGAGCGAACCTATTCTATACTGTGAATACAGCAGTACAAGCATAATGGTATGATTAATATTTAGGAAAAAAATATTCAGTGAGAAATGAGACCATTAATTTTTCTGGATTTTTGTTTGTTTGTTTGGGGTTTTTTTTTAACAAATATTTCAGCGGAAATACCTCCCTTAGTCTCCAGAATATTGTAATAAATAATCAGGCAAGAAGCTTGCTTGCAGAAATAATTTTGTGCAATTTCCATTCCTTTTAGAAGTAGGCTTTGACAGTAATCATGTAGGAAAATAACAGTGGGGGAAAAGGTGTGATAACTGAAGAAAATTCATTTCAGTCAGTTCAGGGATCTGATACTGGACACATAACAATATGAACTACTTTCTTGGGAACAAGCAAAAGCAAACATAAACCTGATTTGCATTTTTCCTGTGCAATGTTGCCATTTGCCTCATCTGCTCACATGTTGTGTCTTGGTAGCAAGCTAAAAAGAGTAGAACTTTTTCTGGAACTTGTCCAGCTGTTCACTGACCCTGGATCATATTTCCAGATTTTGAGGATGAACAATATTCACTGCACCTTTATTCAAGCCCATAAGACATAGAAGACAAAAGACAGTCCATAAACCTGAACTCCCAAATTTAACATGTGCCTCAGGATGTACTGTGGGAAAGGTGTCACATAACTTGAAGGCAGGGTTTAAGGGAGAATAAAAACGTTTTTTCAATACTAGGAATAACAGCAATATGATCAATCCTCACAAAAAGTCTACTGTGCTCTTATTCTTATAGAAACACTGGCAGGAAAGGTGTTAAACTATTTAGCAGGTTATTTTGTATTCCATTATTTTGCTTCCTTTTGCTTCATCTGAATGTTCACCTCCAATTTGTTTTTTCATGCTCCTACCAGACTTTAAATTCACATTTTAAAGACAGCAGGGACCAGCCAAATTGCAATGGTTTTGGACCATTCATTGCATACAGAATTCTTGGTTTCAGCTACTGTTGGAACGCAAATAATAAATTAAAATGATCCTAGTTTTGACTGGTTTTTATATTTTTGAAAAAGTAAAACTCTTTTTTTCAGTGAAAAATTTTACAGATCTCTAGCAGCAGAAGTGGGAGCTGTAGTATACTCTTTAGTGCTTTCAGCAAGACATTTTGGTTGCTTTTGGACACAATGATAAAAAAGGTCTAGCAAGTGCCCACATTGCTACAGGACTAAATTATTACACCTACTTCAAAAGTAGCCAGGCGGTTTAAAGTACCTTAGATGTCCTGGCTCTTAAAATTACAGCTCAGTTTGCTACTTTTTTTTTACTTATATCATACTCAGAAATCTCAATTTCCCAACCCAAGTATCCTTCCCCCCCTGGGCCACACCACTCACACATAGCTTCAAGAGCACCTTTTTTTTTTTCATCCTCCCAAGCTCCAACCTGAAGTTCCTTTCCCAGATATTCAGCAATCCCTCCAGGCTCACACTACCTTGAGTTAGACTAGCAGCATGCTCTTAGTTAATAGCGTAACAAAACAGAAGGTTGCAATGTGTTTAGGTAAGGAAAGTGGGTGAAAATTAGAGTTAATTAGGGCAGAGTTTTGACTAAGACCAGCAAGCAATGTAAAGGGATTAAGAATTAACACCCTCTATTAATGTAAAAATGTAAGAATTAACAGCCTCTATATTATTAGTGATGATAAGTTAAATAATGTATTTTCTTGTTGTAAGGCAGCTTACAGCTCCTAAACACATCTTTAAAATCACAGGTGATTCACTCAGTTGATGCAAACTGGTGCAACACTATTAAAGCCAATGAAAATGTCCAGATTAGTGTGAGTTGAAGGTAGTGGGTTACTTGCACAGCTATCACAATAATCTTTCTGCAGGAAAATACAGAATATTCTCATCAGTGGTTAGTGTAATGTCTTTCTCACTATACTACTTTTTTTCTGTGCTATGGTCAGTGTGATATTATGCACTGCCCAAGAAAGCTATTTTGGCCACCACTGTGGGCCCTTGCAGTTCTCTGTGAAGGTCATTTTTTAGTGGTCTTACAGAGAGACTCATTAAAAATAAAGTTTATGAGCCGAGAGATAGTGAAATGAAGCAGCTGTTAAACTGACACTTCAGTTGTCAGCCCAGCCTCTAGCTGCTTGCACTATATGGCTGTGTACTTGAAAAATTACTGAAATGTTTAACTGGACTTTGACTCAGGGTCCAACTGCCTTTGTCCCCTGATTTATCAGAAAGAATGATATAATAAAAATGGCTCTTTACAAAGTCAGACCTCCCAGGCCCCCGGCACTGGAGTACAAATTTATTACTGCATAATAATCACTGCAAACTTAACAGATGTGCTTTAAAAGGACAGAAAACACTGAACCCTCAAGAAACGTATAAGAGGCTGAAAAGAATTATTAATTTGAACAGTAATTATATAATAAACCTTTTTTCATTATTTTTTAAGATGATGTTGGATTCACGGCTAGGTATTACTAATGATGTCATTAATACATTTTATGGTAGAAGGAATATAAGAACACAAATTAGTAAGCCTTACATAGAAGTGAGGAAAGATAGTTTGAAATAAAAATATATCCTGAAATGGCCCATAATCTGCAAACCACTTTTCTTTTTACCTTCACAACTCAGCACTAATATTTTATAAAATATTTTTCATAATGCTCTTAAGATGCAGAAATTTTAAGACCATTCACATCACATCTATAACATGATGTCATTGTGAGATCTTGCTTTCTTTGAGGCTCGAGGAAAACTCCTTTACAGGCTGGTTTTTTTCTGATAAGCAATAGTCCTTTAACTCTTCTAGCACGGAACTTTCATTTACTTTCCTTTAATATAATAAATTATTTACAGTTTATTCGTTTATTTTCAGGCTGTTTCAGTGTTCTAGAATATTATTTCATCCATCTTTTAAAAGAAACAGAATAAGGTCTAAAGATAGGGCTATGTATCTTCAGTTATGCATCTGAATATTTATGACCTAACATCATGCAAGAGATTTTTTCTTTTCTATATTCAGCATTTTATGAAGGACACTGCTAAAGCAATACAAAAAAATTTTCCATTTTGTCATCATTGAAATTAATTAATAGTCTCAATCTCAATCATGATAACATACTATTAAATACACAGTTTCTGCAAAGAGGAAGGCAATGATATATTCCCTTTGTGTATACCAGGAAAGGGAAAAAAAGTAATTGATATATATTGTGTCAAAGAATATTAGGGATATAAATTAGGGAAGACTTTTCAACTGCAAAGGAAAGGATGTACCTGAAGAAACTATGCACACTTCCATATTGGAGGCCTTAATAACAGCCACGAAAAACAAAATGCTGGAATAATAAGTATA